ACGGCGAGTGGAACGAACTCGCGCGGCCGTCGCGTCGTACTTTGCGGGACGTCCCCTTTCGTTTGGCTTGCAATCGGAAAGACAAAGACGGAAAGAAGAGTCTGTCCGAGCGCCCCGCCCCGTCCGCAGGTGCGCGCCGCGGCGACAAGGGGATTTTTCAGTCGGTTCTCTTTTGGGCGCGGCCGGGCTACCTCAACAATCCCAAGTTTTCCTCCAGGGAAAGGAAAGAAGGGTCGGAAAGGGTCGGTCGCGGCCCGCGGCGCGGGGTGCATCACGTTTTATCTTCCATCGCACCCAATCTTCCATCGCGCTCTCTCGAACCGGTCAACGCTGCCCGGAGAACATCTAATAAAACTAATGTTTCCTCGAAAAAAAAAACAACAAAAAAACTGCACTGCACTAACACTGCAATTGTTGAACAGCGAAAAAAAATTATCCATGGTTTATCCGGTGGCGCTCGCAATTTTTCTTATTTTTGGGCCGCATCTGCTGCAGTAACAGCATTCACGATCGATGTCATTTGCCAACGATAACGTTACACACTAAATGTTAAGGTAGAATTTTGTACGCGCAACTCGCGCGATTTTGTGCATACGTGGAATTTGCATAACACCATGCGTAAAGACGCATAAATTTATGCAAATTCACGCGCAATTTCATGCACGACGCTACACAGGGTTAAATTTATGCATCGCCACGTACAAAATTGTACATAAACATGTAGTGTGTACCGACAATTTCACCGACGATAGCGCTCCAAACTTGGATGTGCTTTTGTCCGCGACTGTCCCTTCCAGCGCGACTCTCTTTGCCGCTCAGACGCGCGGCCCTTTGGCCGTCTAATGGACGGCGGTGCAGCAGGCAAGGCGCACCAAGCAAAGCCCATCAAGGAGCGGCGCGCGGTTCAAGCGTATTAGCGACCTGCATAATTCCGGGCGGCCAAAACTTACAGCGACGGCCGAGCGTGGTGGAGTACGGAGCGTGGCGCAGTGGGCCAGAGGACCGGTGGAGGCGGCGGCCAAAACTCTAGACGCGTTTTGAGCTCCAGAGTCGCTAAACAGGACTCGAACCGAACGTATGACCCCACCGATGGATTGCTCTCCGAACGAGCAATCCATCGGTGGGATCACACGTTTGGTTCGAGTCCTGTTTAGCGACTCTGGAGCTCCAAACGCGTCTTTGGCCGCCGCCTCCACCGGTCCTCTGACCCACTGTGAGACGTGCAGGGCGACAGCAGACGGTCGAAGGGCCTTCGTCATCGACAAGCGGCGGCGCGACTGCGTGTAACCAGACCTTCGTCGGGCTCCTCAAGGCTGCCAGCGCGGCCAGCAGCGCCGAGAGAAACGGGCGCCGCACAGCGCAGCACAGACAGGCGGGATCCCTCGCCACTTTTTCCCGCGCGGGGGAGATTAGGCGGTGAGCGACTGCCCGCCCACATTGAAAAGAAGGATGGAAACTACGAAAAAAGATGAGAGGAAAAAGAGAGGGAAAACCAAGGTTCCTGGCGCAATCAAAGAACACTTACGGAACCCAACGTGTTAGGCCTAGCATCAAAATATTTTAAACGAAATAATTCAAAGAAAAAATCCCGAATTTCCATAGTGGTGGATTTGGGCGCGTTGAGAAGATATGCGACGCGCAGTGTGACATGCCCACTGATATGGCGTTTAATTCCGCGCTGCTTTCGACAATGACATTTCGCCGCCTTTCCGACCGACGCAGCCCCCCCCCTCCAGCCGATACCGGAAAAAATACTTTGGCCCGCACGCTGTCGCGATGTGTGCGCCGGGAGCGGTTTCATTGTGTTTCCATTACTTTTTTATTCCCGCCTCTCCTTTCCACCGACATATTGCCCGCTGCTTTTGTCTGGACCGGTGCCGACGCACAGTGGGCCAGAAGACCAGTGGAGGCGGCTGAAACCCCAGACGAGATTTGACCTCCACAGTCGCTAATTGGGACTCGAACCGAACGAGTGACCTCATCAATGGATTGCTCTCCGAACCAGGAATCCATTGGTGGGGTCAAACGTTCGGTTCGAGTCCTGTTTAGCGACTCTGGAGCTCAAAACGCGCGTCTGGAGTTTTGGCCGCCTCCACCGGTCTTCTGGCCCACTGTGCGCCGGCACCGTGCCGCCGAAACAATTACGTCACCCGGCTCGTTCCGGCTCGGTCCGGCGACCCGGCTCAGCGGTGCGCGCGCCGGTCTAAACGACTGTCGAGAAACTTACATCCGGTAGTTTATTTCCTGACTCCGAGGAGCCGAAACAAACTTACCGCAGCCACCAACGCGGGGCGGGAAACGGACCAGCACACCAGAAAGGGGGTGGGGGAGACGGGGAGACTTGATAGGTGTATCATTGTTTATCTGGCCGAGGCGGGGCGGAATCAGCCTCGTGCTGCGGGACAAACCCGGACAAACCCGGACATACCGCAGCGTGGGCCAGAAGACCGGCGGAGGCGACCAACTCTAGACGCGTTTCGAGCTCCTGAGTCGCTAAACAGGACGCGAACCGAACGTGTGACCCCACCAATGGATTCCTCGTTCGGAGAGGAATCCATTGGTGGGGTCACACGTCCGGTTCGAGCCCCAGTGACTCTGGAGCTCAAACCGCGTCTAGCGTTTTGGCCGCCTCCACCGGTCTTCTGGTCCACTGTGCGGCAGGCAAAACGGGCAAGAAAATGGAGGTCCGAGGGGTGAGCGGCCCCGGCCGGCCACCAGCCAGTCGGCCTGCAGCCAGCCCCGCCCCGCCCGGCCGCCAGCAGCAAGCCAAGTAAACAGTTTACAGAGCGGAAAAAAGGGGGCTTGTTTACCTATCTCTTTGCGACGCCTCTCCGCCGCCCCTCTCTATCCAGCGCCGAGCCGAGCTGATCGATGGCTGCACAAAGCTCTCTGTCTCTCTCGCACTCGTGGGGCGTCCCTACAGGTGCGAGCGAGACGGCGCGACGGAGAGGACTCTCGGAACCGGGCTGTGCAGCCCCGGGCAGGGCGGGCAGCCAACCGTAAACCGATACTCGGCGATTCCGGCTAATTCTGTTTGCACTCGCCTAAACACCAATTGTAAACGGGGCAGCGCGGCACCACACTGTAGTCTGCAGACCGGATGCCTGCGGACTTTGTGCAGGTACAAATTTGTGCATGATTGGGGTGCAATTTTAAAAATACTCAAGCACAATGTGGAAAAAAAAGGTCCCCAATTTATGAATTTAATTGTACGCAGCTTACACACATCTACAAGTACGTCAAAGCCTTGTGGACGATATGAAAGCACACGAACATTTAGTGCATACCCTTCGACGAAGAGACTGTTCTTTCCAGCTCCAATGTCACCAGATTCACAAATAAAAAACAAAAAACCCAAGACAAAAAAAAAGAGCATTTGTTTATTTTTCCTGTCTTTGGCGTCCTCACCCCCCTTTGGTTCCCGGCGAGGCGAAAACAGGTGCCAGGTGGACATTCCGAACCACGTGTGTAATTATTCCTAATGAGGCGTGGCGGGGCGATGGCGGGGCGGGGCGGGGCTGGCGGGGCGGCGGGCGTTCGGGGCGGGGCGGGGCGGGGCTGTCGCGGGGCGGGGCGGGGCGGCCAGGTGGGCCCCGATGCGTTCGTTATTCCGGTAGAAGGACCAGGGGGAGTGGGGCGCGTCGCGTTAGAGAGGTGGGCGGGATGAGGATTAAGAGCGTGGCAAGGTCGATTAGCGAAGATCGATAGAGTCGAAAGGATCGACGCGAGGAGACGCGAGGAGACGACGGTACAGAGACGACCAGAGCACAGTGGGCCAGAAGACCGGTAGAGGTAACGACCAAAACTCTAGACGCGTTTTGAGCTCCAGAGTCACAAAATGGGGATTGAACCGAACGTGTGACCCCCACCAATGGGGGTCCATTGGTGGGATCACACGCTCGGTTCGAGTCCTGTTCAGCGACTCTGGAGCTCAAAACGCGTCTAGAGTTTCGGCCCCATCCACCGGTCTTCTGGCACCCACTGCGCCGAGGATGGGAAGGAGAGGATCAAGGTGAAACCAGAGGACGGGAAGGATCCGTCAGTGCAGGAGGGGTAGGACGGTGCGAGCAGCCAGACGCGAGGCCTCAATTGTGAGCACCACAGCAGGGGTTTGCTACCTTGGAAGCCTGAGGGCCCTACGGGTTCTCCACCCCAAAGCCGAGGCGGGGCAGGGAGGCACTCATAACCCGATCAGGCGGCAGCGCGCCAGCAGTGGCGTAGCAAATTTGCTTTGGGATGATTCGACGCATTCATGCCCGATTTGGCCGTGGAGCTGGCCGAGCCTCGAGGGGCCGCGCCCGGGCCGCGGCGCCCACACTGGCTGCGCCCACACTGGCTGCGCCCACACTGGCAGCGCCCACACTGGCTGCGCCCACACTGGCTGCGCCCACACTGGCTGCGCCCACACTGGCTGCCCTGCCCGGACAAGGCGTCATCGAACGGCAGCCAACGGCAGCCTTCTCCAGTCGCCCCCGGCGGGAAACTCGACTTCAATAGGCCGCCCGATGGAACGGCCCGCGCGTTGGGAGACCCGCCGGCGCACGCGACAACGCGCGACACGCTGAGGCGGGACGGCCCACCCTGCCCACAACACAGGCGTCCCCCGTTTTCCGGCTCAAACACAACAACAACAACAACAACACAACAACAACAACAACAACAACAACAGCAACAGCAGCAGCAACAGCCGACCAGTCCGGCGCAGCCTTCATAATCCAAACTCAGACATCACTTTTATGTTTCCTGCCGGCGTGGCACGGTGGGCCAGAAGACCGTTGGAGGCGGCCAAAACTCTAGACGCGTCCGAGATCCCGAGTCCGCCTAAAGAGCACTCCGAACCGACCGTGTGACCCCACCAATGGATTGCTCTCCGACCGAGGAGTCCGTTGGTGGGGTCACACCTTCGGTTCGAGCCCCATTTAGCGCCTCTGGAGCTCAAAACGCGTCCGGGATTTTGACCGCCACTTTGCGGCAGTCCGCTTTGCGCTCCGCATACTCACCTAGCAGTGGAGGGCAGCCCGGCATGGGGAAGGCGGCGGCCCCGGCGGGGGCGGCGCGGGCGGCGGGGGCCGGGGGGAGGGGGGCGGCACCTCCACCTGCCCCGCCCTGGGGCCCGCCCCCAGCCCAGCGTCTCGGCACCACCTGGAACAACAGAACACCGTAAGAGCGGTGGCCGATGTCAAACGAAGGACGCAGCCTCGCCGTGAACCGCAGAGGCCGTTTTCCGACGTTCGGTCCGCGAATCTGTGACGAGCGCTAATTGTTCTGGCACCACGCGCCGGGAGCCCGCGAGACCTCCCTCGGTGCAGGGCGTCCTCGAAGAACACACATTCCCGCCAAGCGCTCCGTCTCTCTCGCGCGCCTCCGCCAAGCACCACGAGTCCGAGAGAGACGCGGAGCGACAAAAGCACACCCTTCGGAACCAGCAGCCTGCTGGCCGGCTGGCCTATAAGGGCGGCGTGTTAACCGCCGCGGGCCCGCCAGGCATGCCACCACGACCACCGCGGCGGCCTCCACCACACGACCGCCACCACGGCCTCGGACACCACAACGAGGGTGCACAGTGGGCCAGAGGACCGGTGGAGGCGGTCAAAATCCCGGACGGGTTTCGAGCTCCAGAGTCGCTAAACAGGACTCGAACCGAACGTGTGACCCCACCAATGCATTCCTCGTTCGGAGAGCAGTCCATTGGTGGGGTCACACGTTAGGTTCGCGTCCCATTTAGCGACTCTGGAGCTCAAAACAAGTCGAGAATTGTGGCCGCCTCCACCGGTCTTCTGGCCCACTGTGGGGTGGCCAGCCGCCCAGTCGCGCCAGGCAATGAGCCGCTCGTCCCAGCCCATTGCACAGCCTGCCCTTACGGCGCGACACTGTGGGGAACTTTCAGCCCTGGATGCCCCCCCCCCTCCCCTTCCTCTCTCATTCCCGTGGGGCACTGGCCACAGGCATCTGCAGACTGATTCCGAGAGTCGTTTTCACCGCTGTCTGCCTCTCGCACTCACGGGGGCGCCCTGCATACAGGTGTGCGAGAGAGACGGGGCGACGAGAACGACTCTCGGAATCAGTCCGCTGGTCGGCCAGGCTTCCTCCAGGCCGGGGAACGCACATTAACCGCTATGGGCCGTTCTTTTTGGGCTGTGAACTTAAAGGGTGCGCAGAACGAAGCGGGGGCTGGGGGGGGGGGGATGGTTGCATCTTTATTATCGTCAGCACCTTGTCAGCATCAGTGGCCACAGCCACAGGTGTTTTCCCAGACTCTTACGTTCAAAATCGAAATGCACAACTGTATGGCCCAAAAAAGGGGTACTACAAGTACCGCCTTTGAATTTAGAGTGTAACGAGCGCGAGACGCGGAATCAATTATTTCAAAGTGATGAACACGTCATCCACGATTTTTGTCATAAAGTGACGACGGCCTCTCGCCATTGAGTGACGTGATGTGTCCCGACAATTGGGGATGGGTGCGCCATTGACGCCCCGCCCCGCCCCGCCCCACCCGCCGGCCGCGACAATATGCCGATCGACACACGGCCACACCGGGCCGGCCTTTCAATCAGTCCTCCCGCTAATGGTGGGCAGGCATAAATTGGTTCGTCATTGTGTTCCGCTCACAACGGCGTGGGTGGCGCGCTTCGCGCTTCGCGCGCGGTGCCCGACACACTGGCAGAAAAGGAAATGTGCGCCGCAATGGCACAGTGGGCCAGAAGACCGGTGGAGGCGGTTAAAATTCTAGACGCGTTTTGAGCTCCTGAGTTGCTAAATGGAACTCGAAGCGAACGTGTGACCCCACCAATGGATTGCTCTCCGAACGACGAATCCATTGGTGGGGTCACACGTTCGGTTCGAGTCCCGATTAGCGACGCTTGAGCTCAAAACGCGTCTAGATAAAGTCTACTACGCCGCGCCGGTCTCCTGGCCCACTGTGAGCCTGCAGTTCATCAAGCGACCGGAAGATTAAAATTTGAGTATGATAAAAATTTGCCAAGGATGTCGCTGGTCGGCCGAGCACACCAGGGTTCGCCGCGCGACCAGACCCGCGGTTCCGGTTCGGCGCCCCCAAGTGCTTTCCGCCTGGTTACGCCGCATCGCGCCGCACCGCCGGCGAAGCGGGCCAAAAACACGCCAAAGGGACGTTTGAACCGGCCGGGCAATCCGGCGCGCGGGCTCACTCCGCAAAGCGGGTCGCTCCGTCTCTCTCGCACCCCGACGCACTGTGGGCCAGGAGACCGGTGGAGACGGCCATAACTCTAGACGCGTTTTGAGCTCCAGGGTCGCTAAATGGGACTCGAACCGAGCGTGTGACCCCACCAATGGATTCCTCGTTCGGAGAGCAATCCATTGGTGGGGTCACACGATCGGTTCGAATCCAGTAAAGCGGCCCACCGTGCTACGGGGCGGCCCTCGAGTGCGACAGAGACGGAGCGCCGCTCGGAATCAGCCTGCCGGGATTGGCGCCAAAGCAGAAACGTCTGTAGTGATTAGCACGACGATCCGTCACTAATCCGCTCCACGCCGACAGTGTCGACACGCAGGCACACACGCACCTGGCGGACCCCTTTGGGAACGAAAAATACAAATGACGCAAAAAAAAGGGAAAACTATTTTCAACTGCTAATGATGTTGGCGCAACAGGAGGAATGCCTGGGGTGGCATTTTCATTTCATTCATTTTACATTTTCAATCATTTTTTGCGGGGGTGGCGGCAATCAAAAAGCCAAGACCACGCCTGCCGAACATAGAGGTGCTACAACTTTACACTGGGATATCAGGAAGGTAAAATATTAAAGTTGCCAGCATTTTTTTTTTAATTTTAAGTTTAATTCGCTGAGGAGGCAAGGGAAACGGAGAGGAAAGGGGGGGAAAAGATCGAGAAAAGCAGAAGGAACGACAATAAAGCTGGGGAGGAGGGACTCGAAGAAGAAACACAAACAACAACACTAACAACAGCAGCAACAACACTGCGGCCCGGCAAAAAGGCGCGGTGTTAATGTTTCAGCGCACGGCGCGTGTGTTGGCCAAACAAGGTGGCCTGCTTCGTTTCAATCTTAAATGAGAAGTGCACTCACGGAACGAGGTTCCTTGGCCAGCCTCTATCCGCCGCCATTACTGCCCGAGGGGTAGCCTCGGGGCAGCGGGGGTGGAGGGGGGAGGGTCATCGCGAGGGAAAATGAGGGGATGATCCGATTGGACGAGTGTAAAGCCCGGCCTGCGGTTTCGTCGCGCAGCGACGCAGGGGCCGCAAGCCGTTGACACTACCCCGCCCCGCACAGCGAGCCAAAAGACCGGTGGAGGCGGTCACAATCCCGGACGCGTTTTGAGATCCAGAGTCACCAAATGAGACCCAAACCTGCCGAGTGACGCCACGAATGGACTGCTCATCCGAAAAGCAATCCATTGGTGGGGTCACACGTTCGATTCGGGTCTCAGTGACTCTGGATGTCGGACGCGCCTTGAGTTTTGGCCGCCTCCACCGATCTTCCACTGCGCCCCACCACGCCGCGTGGCGAAGGAACTCGGAAGAGAAATTTATGACATTTTTTTGCACTCTTACCCAAAAATTTTGGTCTTGCAAATAATTCATCAATGTGAACCGGTTTTCAATTCCTGGCGTGCGTTGCCAGTGGTATGCTGTCACGGTGCCAGCGCTTGCCAGCGCCCGCACTGCAGGCCAGCCAGACGCAGGCACTGGCAGGCAGGCGCAGGCGGAGCCAAGCGGTGAGCCACGTTAGCACGCCGCGAGCCCCCGTGACGCGGCGCTGCCCCCCAGTTGGGGGGGGGGGGCATTCCTGCGCGGTGAAAGACTCTTCTCCGAAACATCGCGACAAACAAGTGTCCATCCGGTTACGTCATCGAGGCGGTCGTGGCCCGGCATTGGCCCAGGCACGCCTCTTCCGCCCCTTGGGCCGTGTACAACACTGTCAAAATAATACAATCATAAAATTTCAATTTTTTCCTTTTTTTAAAAATTTAGTTGTTTTTTTTTCAGCACTTGGAATTATGATTGAATTTTCAGCCCAGGCCGCCCAGGCGTGCGAGTTACCACCAAGGCAAGACATTTTCTGTTCTCAACGCGAACCTCGCATTCTTTTCGGGCACGGCGCGCATACCCTCCTCCCCCCCCCCACACACACACACACAGACGCGCGCGCGGCGGGACAGACTGAAACCACACGCGGCTTGCCGACGCCATCCCCCCCGGCCAGTACTCACGGCACAGTTACATTTCACTCGGGATGCAAGGGAAATCCCCCCCTTTCCCTCCCCCGCCTCAAAACACCACAGAGTTGGCAACGCCGCCCGTCTGAGCGGAACTGCCAAGTCATTCCGACGCACAATGTTTTTTCTATTGCCATGCAGGCTGGCCGGGCCGGGCCGCGGTTGCCTTGCTTGCCTTGCTGGCCTCGCTTGCCTCGGTGGCTCCTCCCGACATTCCCCGCGAATCGCACATTCGCCGCCAAACTTTCCAGGACCCCCTTCAACTTTTCAATGCAGCCCTGTTCCGTCTTCGCGAGGCGAGGCGAGCCGAGGCGCCCTTGTGTTCTTTGGCGGCGAGCCGCTGCTGATGGCACTTTGATGGTTGGTTTCCCTTGTTCAGTCCCGAAAAAAAAATAGGATTCGGGGTGTGACTTGATGTGACTACTGCACTGAATAACCGAAGAGCATTTCAACATCCCAAGAGCATTTTGTCAGCCCAAGAGCATTCCCCAAGACAGTATTTCGACAGCCCAAGAGTATTTCCATAGCCCAAGACCATCTCGACAGCTTAAGAGCGTTTCCACATCCCGAGAGCATTTTTCCATCCCAAAAGCACTTCGACAGCCCGAGAGCATTTCTCCACCCCAAGAGCATTTGGACAGGCTAAAGGCATTGCCACAGCCCAAAGGTATTTCCACAGCCAAAGAGCAAATAACAGCATTTTTTTAGACGAAGTGTAAGCTGGTGAGCCTAACACAGGGCTTATTCTTTCGGTAAAACGAAAATCCCCTTCATCGCGGTTAAAGCAAGCGGGCAGTTAAAATAAAAACCTAATGCTTCTCTCTCTCTCTCTCTCT